CTCTGTCACCTAAACCAATGTTATACAGATGTACACTGTTATCTTTCACCTGTCAAAACACATTTCATTTATTACTGATTTTACCTCCTTTACATCTCTGCCCTGAAATCTAGAAGTACACGGTACTTACTGTCAGTGGCTAAAAACCTGGGTAGCAGACTGTACACTGTACGTGTTTTATCACTGTGTCGTCTCTTATTTTTGACCAGAAGCATTCATCCTATAGGAGGGAACCACGTGTGTCCACAAGAGGTCATTCCAAGTCCAGTAGTCAAAGGTCATGATAAAAGGCAAGATCTTTCCTGTGAGGACACCACTGGGAAGCCCATGTTTGGTTTGGGATGTCAGGTCATTAATGGGAGAAGATGTGGCTGCAGGGCAGCTTACTGCATATGTCTACAGATCTGAGAATTATCCATTTTTTTTACATTCAAAAGACAACATCTTTCTCTGATAGAGAGCTGAGCTTTTTTAACATGATGATCATCCTCCTGGGCTGATACCATAAGAAAGCAAACATAAAGCATTACTTTAACAAGCAAAACAAAGTGTGCTGGCACAATTTGTCACTGAGTTTGCTTTGTTTGCGCTGTTTGTGTTACTTGCTGCAGAGATGAGCAGTTGAGTGTTTTTACTCATTATTCCCTGTGCCTACACACCCCAGACCAGCTGAAGCTGACACAAAGTCAGTTGCTCTTTAATGCCATTCTGCCTGAGTCAGGCTATTGTAAAGCTACAGTGGCAGTTTCGACATGTACTGTTGGCCAACATCCTTAAGAGACATTACACCAGCATTTCCCCCTGTGCTTACACAGGACACTGACAAAACTAGCTGATGATCCATCTATGGCTTTACATTGACTGGAAATCCCATATGGTTGTTATTTTTGCTTTCAAGCTATTGAAAGTGCTATTCCACAAGATCTGCAAGGTCCACAACAGCACAGAACAGACAGCATGGTGCAACCAAGGCAGCTGCTCCATACTCATGACTGCCCCCTTTGTGCAATGAGCTGCCCATTTAAGCTCATCCAAACTGCACCCAGAATGAGGTGGTCAGCTGGCCAGCTCACATCCCATTTCAGCCCATTGCAACTGTGCACTGAATACAACACTGTTTGTGCAGAAAAAAAATGAAACAGAACACGGGCATATCTTCAACCCAGATCAAGATGTGTCTCCTAAGAAAATGCACATTAAAAATATTAGAAGATACCTACAATTGCTCTGATGATAACAAATGTAAATAAATACATGAAGCTGAAGGTAAAGCTCTTCTGAAGCCCAAAAAACTGATTTTTAACTGTTTACTTGATTTTATAATGGTTGAAGAAATCACTACAGCTGACTTTTCATGCCCTGAAGTGATGGTCTTCACCATTAAAGAGGGGGGAACATGGAATAAATGAAAGATGTACATAAGCTAGGATGCAGCTAATAAGCATTTAATAGGCTGACTAAAAGTCATGTACAAAATGGTTCAACTGTGTAAAGATCAGTTGTGTTACAGTCCCAAGGCAGAAAAACATTTACTGAAGTAGCATCTTCAACCTGAAATTATACTATGGTCTGAGATACACTAATAGAGAAAGAAATTAGGATTACTAAACACTGGGAGTACAGTGAAAAACACTTCCCTTTTCTCACTTCTATTTCTTTGTGCATTTGCCAGCACACCCAATAACTGGGTTCCCTGCCACCCTTCTATGTTTCCCTCACTGGCTAACAGTGGAGACAAAAGAAAAAACTTGAATTACAAAGCTGGCTGAAGTGGTGAAAAACAAAAGTATCACCTGATGGATACCAGTCCAGTTTCACTGACTTCCAAATAAATACTAAAGCGTGAAACTCACTATAGCTGTCCTGTTTCGAAAGACATTACAAATTCTTAACCCACCTCCTTGTCACGCTGTTTAGTACTCTTGCTTTCCAGAAGAAATAAAATGTCAATTCAATGTATGTGTTCTCCACTGAAGAGTACAACTCTTACTTACATATGAGCAAGCAGAACCATAAAGTACTTGTTGTACAAATTTTCATTAATTTTCAGAAATACTGTAAAAAATAATAAAAAAATCCCCAAAACCTAAAAAAACCCACATGCATGTGGTGCCACCTGCACTGTTTGAATTTACCACATCTGCTTGTATTAGCAAAAGAGAAACAAAGGAAATCAAAATCCATGTAAGCAAAAATCAAATACAGTGTTCTAAGAGTGTGACCAGCATTTAGAGTCAGAAGTTTAAATTCAGCTGTCCCTTACAAATAACCTTGTTTAAATGAAGGCAAAGCATTTCCTACCTTTTTTTTAAGAATCTCTTTCACCTGAGAATTATTCTTTGAGCTTTTTGAAAAGAGGTGTTGAGACCTGACAACCTTTCAAGAGTTGAGCACAGCATCACTCGACCACATGACAAAGCATCACCTTTCCTATGTTACAAAGACTGTCTTTATTTGCATGTGTACCAATACATATTTTTGATTCATTCGCTAGTCACAGACTCATGATGCTCCGTCTCTGTAGATGAGTCACTGATGTCGCTCATGGAACAGTCTTTTACTGTGAACTCCCTGCAGGGTAAATTATATCACATAAAGGAAAGGGAAGAATGGTGCCTGTCTGTGAAGAGAGGTAGACCTGAGGATTTTGCAAATGTTTTTCCCAAAATGTATTCCAAACACTTTTAAAAACTGTTTTTGGAAACAAAGCTGCAGAGAAATATTAGAGGACTGCATGACAAGAACAACAATCTTCAAAAAAAGTCACTGGCATTAGCTGAGCAGCATGTTGCTAGCACAGACATAGAGGATAAATTCTGCATTTCAAAACATCAGTTCCTCTTAGAAAATGAAACATGTTTAATTAATTGTTGTTTAATCTATACCAGATATGTAACTAGTTCACAGAAAAGAACAATGAATATTGGCACAGGTCATAGATCGTCTTCAGAGGTCCACTTGTTTTAGCAGTGCATATGGACATCTCTATAATTAATTTTTAAAAAGCATTTCATCATGTCTGTTTTGCCTAACAATAAACTGTAGACACCTGGCCACCTTTTGAATTTGTCTCTTTTTTTCCAGAAAAATATCTACAAATTACAAAACTGTGAGACCTCCACAGACAAGTCCCAACAGAATGAGCACTGAATCCAACAAGGAATCCAACTGCTGATATGTTACTACTGGCTATGTCAAAAAAACACACTCTGCAATTTCTGTACTCACAAAATGAGTTTACAAAGTAACCTTGACTGAGCTAAGAGAAGGAGGCCAAATATACTGAGAACACAGTATGAGAGCACTGGATTTCGGTTTCCCATTGGTTACACCATAATTTCCCTAAGTAGTTAGTTAAGTACTCACACACCCTGCTCCCTACCAACTCAGCATTCCCGCTTGGTTTACCTTTTCAGGGACTCACTCCAGAACATGTATTTTACCATATTTCGTTATCTAGTGTGAGCTCTGTCTGTACAATACTGATTATTTTATGCCAAAAAGACAAACCACCGATACGACTGTACTATTTTGCCTGTCTCGCAATGTTTGAATTTACTAAACCTGACAGATGGTTAGACTTTATTACTGGCAAAATATTTCAAGTGTGATAGCAGCAACTGATCCAGTTTCCTGAGGCTGTTCATTTTAAAGCTTATCACCACAGGGCTGAAGCTCAAGGACTGCAGACATGTTCAGATCAAGCTTAGCATGTCCTGAGACAGGAGGACAGAGCTACCCTCTTATTCTGGTTTTGGTTTAGGTCATGTTTATTTCTAAAGGTCATTGCAATAAAAATATCAAGAATCTTCATCAAAGGTTTACATCCTATGGGAGGTTCATGACCTTGCCCTAAGTCACAGCAAACAGCACTACTAGTGAACAAATAAAATGTTCAGTTGAACCTCTGCTGCCAGGTATGTTTATGTGCATTAGAAAGTATGACATCTTGAGCCATCATGTATGTTTTACTTCCAAACTTGGCTTTGCTGTTTCATATTAAAAATCAACATTGATCCACGTACACTGCAGGATAAGTTTTCTTTCCCTGACTGTGGATACTTGTTATGTCAACGAAGGAAACTTCCTCTCCACAGGTTTTACTTGAAACACTGGCTTGATCTAAAAAAACCCAGCGTCCTAATGAGCAGCTTGGTGAGATTTGCTGCCAAATTATGTATTTGACTCATTTTTTTTGGCAATGCTGAATTGCTCATTTTTCTCTTGGTGCCCTCAGGAACAAACCAGATGCTCAGTGAGCTAACGGACCACTGATGAGGGGAAAAGATCTAGTGCCCCAGAATCCATCAACTCTATGTGCTAGGGTGTTCATAAATATGGTTTTGACCACATATCACAATAAATAAATCATGTGCATACACATCTATCCTGAATAATTTGATGCAATTCAGTGTGCAGACGTGCTTTTTACAAAGTTGGTGTGCACAAGTTCCTGTTCACCCAATTCTTCTCCCTAGTCTAAATGAAATACATATAAACTCTCTGTAGTACTCTGCATACTCTTCTGGAAGTTTCACAAACAGCTGGTGAAAACTGGATCTTCAAGAAAATCTTTTTCATCAGTAGAAATAGTGGAGAGATTGCAGTAATGACAAAAGCCAAGGTTTTCCAGTTGTGCCATCCCAAGCCAGTTGAGAGCTGTGCCTAAGCAACAGCTTGTATCAGTGGAAAAATGACATGCTTCATTTTTTTATCACTGCAGAAGGGACTTTAGAATAGTATCAGAAAAGAACAGAAAGCATTAATTTTCAGCTCCTTGCAGCCAACATCCTGAATGTTTTTTTTCTTGAAAGTACATGTTTTGCTTTCTCTAATACTAAACTGACAGAGCTGAAAGCAAATTAATAATGCAATAGTCAGCATACAGACTAAATGACGTAATTTTAGACTCTTATCCAAATACGACGTTAGCTTACCTGGGGATTTTTAAATAAAGCGTATTTTTCTCTCTTTTCCAAAAACAGAATCTTATTCTCAGTGTCTCGAGTCCAGTCTGACAACACTTCAACAACATTTTCATGGTCTTCAAAAAACCTTTCTGGAGAGACAGAAAAGGTAATGTAAGACACTCAAAACTCTCTCTCTCCTCTCCTGAGGCTGCAGAAATTCCTGTGTAAGAATGTAATCATTCATTATCTGATGTTCGCCCAGAGCTGAACAGCCCAGCACTCTTTTCAACTGCACAGAAGGGAGCAAAACCACGTGAAAACAGCATCATGTTGAAGGGCAGATCAGGAAGATGCCTTATGCAGCTGTGGCATGCTCCTGGATTCCTCCTGCTTCTCTGTGCTGTTGCTCAAAGACTGCAAAGGATGGAAACAGTGACCCACTCAGGTAGACGGTTACACTCATGTCTCTCAACAGCTGTTTGCTTTGGATTTTTAAGGTTTGCAGTATGATTGGAGGCTTTATATATTCACTTCAACTACTAAATTGAAAAAAAAAAAGTAAAACCTCATTTCCTTGAATTTTTACTTATTGGAACAAACGAAAAATTGCTTTTTGTCAGCAGGAAGAATTCTATGCATTGAAAATAAAATGTTTTGTTTCAAGCAACTGTATCTAAAAACACAAATAGCAAAACAGAGGAAATAGAAAGACATCTCTGTAGTTAAAAACATCATCAGAGATGAGGGAGTTCTCTCCCTTCCCGAGCTGATCTAAACCCAGATCCTCCACCCAGGAAAGCCACAAGGCATGCTGAGGTTAGGTAACTCCGATCTCTTCTTCCGTGGTTTCACTTGTATAAAGTAGCTGAACAGTCACATAAACACCCTTCGGAAGGAAAAAGAATTGAGCACAAATTGGCAGGTAATTTTGGAAGGACCCAAACTGCATTTTTCTGAATTTCTACAAATTCAGTATTGAAGCAGGGAATTCACTCAGCCTCAATTGTCAGTATGATTTTGGCAGTTCCTGGAAACAGCTGTACTCCCATTACAGTGGTCTCTGGTGCTTGCATCTCCCTGTGGCCGAGACTGGCCTAGTTAAGAGGAGATAACAGAGCATACACTCTGTAGACTTAAACACTTCATGTTACTTTTGACAAAGATTCACTATGTCCCATGAAAACCAAGCTTTGTGAAGTAATTAAATTCACAGCTTCAGGGCCAGTCACGCATGTACACATGTACGCTGTAACTTTTAACAACACAAGTAATATAACACTTCTCATTCAGCAACTGATACTTCTGCCATGCACTGGAAATATAAAGCACTATATAAAACCCAAGTAATGGTCTGAAGGGTAAACAGCATCTTATAGTTCAGGATAGCCATAAAACAATTCTCAGGTTATAACACTAGTTATTTAACAGTAATTTTTGCCATATACACTTTTGTTTGTTCATCTCCAGTACCAGGCTTTTCTTGTATAAAATGTATGATCTTACCATCCTCAGGATGGCCTTTTTTATAATTATTGTTACCAAAAAAAATTTCTTAAATCTAGATGTATATTATAAGGCAATATTCTTTACTGCAAAATACATGCTAGTATGTACAGCCCAGTGTTATATCACCATCTCACTACTGACATTATTTGTGATATTTAACATGCAATTGATCTAAAACTGTAGTTTATTTCATTTGCAATGACTGTCTTTCAAAATAACAGTATATATATATATACACACACGATACTCTGACAAAGATCTTCTGGTATAAATCTAGCTTGGACTTTCAGTTCAGCCTGAAATATTTGTTGCTCTGATTTGCTTCTTAAAGTAAAGGTATTTTTATTCTCTTGAATACTAAAGTGGAAACCAGGCAGAAAGGGAAAAAGCAGTGAAGCCTGTCTTCTAAGCAAGCTGATAGCAATAAAGCTATCTAGAGCTGCCAAGAATAAGAACAGTTCACATTGTTTTGATTTTGAACAAAATTAACTGCATGTTGCTGTGCACTGGAAGCAAAAGAAAGAATCTGTACCACTCCATCCATATCAAAATTGCCTTCTGCAAACAAAGTCTCCATTCCCAGTTGATTTGGACCTGGTGATAGACCTCTGCATCAGGAGATCAGACTTTTCTTTTTTTTCCTGTACAATTACTGATTTATTTTCTCTTCTACTCTTCTTCTGTCCTGGCTTTTAATTAGTTTTTATTCATTATGAGAGTAATTCCTTACTATACCAATACCCTAAAACCTAACCCAAAGGACCTAGCATTTGTTGGGACAAAAGTAACAAGTAATTTCAACTTACCAAAAAAAAAAAAAAAGTCTAACCACTAACACCAATGTTTGTAGCATACGATCTCTGTGATACCTTCAGTTTTAATTGTGTGATGGGGCTTGATTGTTCAAATCCAGATTATAAAGAAACACAAGTACATTCCTTTTCATGATTATGGAGATTCAGAAAATAATCTGTTTATATGCTGTCATCCTAACACCCAGAAATGTTTGTCCAAATCACACTAGACCAGAGGGAGCAATTTTCCAAGACAAGAAAGCACTCTAAAATTATTCAAAGTGACATTTCACTTCTTCCACTTAAATTTGAGAAGAAACTTCTTCTCAGTGAGGGTAACAGAGCACTGGAACAGGCTGCCCAGAGAGGTTGTGGAGTCTCCTTCTCTGGAGACATTCAAAACCCGCCTGGACGCCTTCCTGTGCAACCTCATCTAGGTGTTCCTGCTCCGGCAGGGGGATTGGACTAGATGATCTTTTGAGGTCCCTTCCATTCCCTAACGTTCTGTGATTCTGTTCTGTGATTTGTGACATTTCTAGGGTCTAATGACATTTCCAGTCTTTCCTTAGTTAAGATAAGCAGGTACAAAAGAATGCAGCAACGTTGCTTCATGTATCATCTGAAAGGAGTAGAAAGAACAGATTGGCAGTTACTGTCTCTGCCATTCTTACAAGCAGATGAGTATCTCCTTGCTCACAAGCAGTCAATCTCTTCCCAGCTATTTATATATTTCTTTGTTTTAGTTCAGTGGGATGATTATTGCTAGTCCTCTTTTAAAGTGCAATATTGATATTTAACTCTCTTTATGGATTTTTACTTCTCTGCTCAGAGTCTGTAAACTGAGAAGTTTAAAGGCTGTTTGCCAATTTCCCATTTCTCTAGGTCAAACACGACCCTGGAAGAAAATTGTGGCAGTTTTCCTTTCCCTTTTGAAATGAATAACTTTGCAGCTTAGACAATAAAAAGATTCTGAAATAACTCACAATTAGAGAATACTTCATTCTTAATCAGTGCTTGAAGCCACTTAGAATCAAAAAACTCAGTAAGCTGCACCAAACACCACATAAGTTTTGCACAGCTGTATCCAGGGACCTAAAGGCAAGCTTAGTTACTTTCTAAATCATAAGGTAGCACCAGCAGGTAAGCTGCAGCCCCATCAGAGCATAATACCCTGTTCACAACTACACTTAAGAAAATGACTATAACAAGTGAAAAGCATGAGAAATGACTGAAACACTTCACAAGTCTTGTTTAATTACAACATCTGTTTGGCCAGTACGTAGCAGCCTGTGGATGACAGCACTTCAGCATTGCATCCCCTCTTCAAAGGGTAGAGTTGAGTACTGTCACTGAGTTGGGTCTGTCACTGCCTTGACAAAGGTAGCGAGATTCACATGGCTCCTTCATTTTGTGTAAAACAGAATAATGGAAATGGCGGTGGGCAAGGAACCTTCTGCAGCTCACAGCACGGACAAATGGAAGACCCACATCTACAGCAAGAATGGCTCAAGGGTGTTCCTGCAGCACCCCCTGGCTTAGAGACTGTGATGTTCCAAAACCAGTGGATACACAGGCAGGAGAAATGTTATTAATTATCTTTTCAAGACTACCAGTAGCATAGGATGCACTATATCTATTTGCTATATGCTCTGTTACTACATCACTTACCGATTTGCAGCTCTGGGTACACCTCATACAGACACCAGTCGACGTTGCAGTCACAATGGGTTTTCTCAAAGAGATTGTCTAAAACATCCCGTGTCACCTGACGCTCATCCACCATTAGTGACTTTGTGCTGTTATCGTACATGTGCACCTTGACAACAAGCTGAGTACAGAGTCACAGAAGAGTCAGTTAATTTCAGCAGCAAGTATAAGGCTAGTCTGAATCTGCTAACACAGATAAGAAAGATTAAGGCTGAAGGTTATTATCTATTCAAAGGCACCCTGTCCCACAGTGAGCTGAAGGAGTAAAACAGCTTGGAAGCTTTCGCATTATATTGCCAGCAAAATAAAGACCTTTTCTCAGAAAGGGAAATTGAACCTTGTCCTGTGCGTTGACTTCAGGAAAGGTGAAATTGCTATGGAGAAAAAGCAGAAGTTAATCTCTTCTCTAAATCTACTAGATGTGCAATTCAGGAAAATGCTTGAGAGGGAAACCAAGTACAAAAGGACAGAGTGTCCTTAATACAAACTAGAAATGCAGAAAGTTTAGTTTTAAATGAGAAAAAGAATCAGAGAGTCTTTCCATGCCAACAGACTAACCTTAAATCAGATTGTACTAAGATGGGCAGTAGTCCAACACCCATCAATAAGCAAACAGATGAGTTACTTATATTGATCAAATTAACCTAAGACACTCATTATTTCTTCATATTGTGAAGTACTCATTAAACAAGAAATTGCAGATTTTTTCAGAGAAGAGCAATGCAAGAAGATGCTGAAGTACACAAACTGTGATAAAGAACTGCAAATACATTATATGCTCTATTAGTACTGAAAAAAGAAGAAAAATTGTCTACAAGATCTGTACATGGAAACCAGAACTAAACTAAAGGAGGGGGAAAAAAAAAAGAAGACTCCTCAAAATAAACGTGTCCTCCCAAAGGAGAATTGCTAACATTGCAAGAAAAGAGGGCGACCAATGAACAGTCATAAGCTTAGTTATAGCGTTTTCTAAAGACAACACTGGTGAAGTCCTCCCAGCATATTATCTCAGAAGTAGCATTTGTACATGAATGTAAAGTGTTTTGTGGGAACCATCTCTAGTCTGGACAACTCCAAATTTATTGGAAGCTTCAGTTCTTCTTGGAAGCCTTGGAGGCTCTAATCTCTAACACTTTCCATCTCCTGTTTGGCCAAGACTTAAAGATCATGACTATTTTTTCTTCCCATCCATTTTTCAGAGTTACTGAACATCTGCAGCTTCTGTTGAGTTCAGCTGGAACACCAGCTTAGGATGAGTGGGCATAATTAGATGACACACTGCAGCACTGTGCGGACACTGGCTGGAAGCTTTCTAATCTGTTGGTCTAAAATAAATTCTATTATCCTTGTACATTACTACACTGCTGTGAAAAGATTTAGCAAGAAGACCCTCATTAATTTAATGGGGATTAGCTAAATCCACATCCACTACAGAAGAAAAGTTTAATACTTTTAGAATCAGCACAGCACAAGTAAGTAACATTTTTAGGTAGATTCCACTTTCTCTAAAACTATCGGAACAACGGGCTTTGCCCCAACATTGGGAAAAAAACCAACAAAGAGGCAGAGCCTTTCAAGTCCTCTTAGAGGTAGCATTCTCCCCGAGACTTCTCTTCAGGTGGATGACAAGACAGATCCACAGAATATCTTTAGGTGTCTCAAGTTACAGACAAAATATTAAAAAATCTAGCTATTTTAGTAAGAACTTTATTATTAAGAAGAATTGTAAGAGACACTTAACTGGTAGCTCTTATGGTAGCATTTCAGTATTTTAAGGCTCACCTTTTTAACTTTGGCTTCCTTCAGTTTCTCCAATGCAAGTTTAATCTTGTCAGCTTTAGCCTGTGCCTCTCGTTCTTCCTGAAAACACAAAAAACACTTGGTACACTTCTTGTTAAGTAAGGCCAGAAATTTATGTTTACTGGAAAAGATTTGTGTTTTGTTATTTATATCCAGAACATAAGGCCTGTCATGGGAAACTTCATAGCTACAGGGAATCTCCAGCTTTCCTTGAGCTAATATCTTTCAGTCAAAACTTTGATTTATAAGTCCAATGCTCCATTTTGTTGCGCAGTCATACAGCTCTTATATGATCTGTTCCTCAAATGAAAAACCAAACTCTTCCATGTTTCCATATGGGTTACAGCTTATACAAAAGAGAAGACGAAGGAAGATTTAGCCTCAATGAAACAGCACTATGGAGGCAGTCTCTTGGAAGAAAGGTCTCCTCTCAGTAAAGTGAGGTGAACTAGTTTTTAGGATCTTACAGAAAACTTGGCTTGCAATTATACCACTTAAAATTTTACACTTTCTGTTAAGTACATTAATTGATCTTTTTCACTTGCCATATATAAGTTCTTACTGCACACATACTTGCTGAGAGGAACATTTCCTTAAATTGAGTATCATGGCTTTTATTCTAGTAATAGACCTATTCATATGAACACAGACACAGTTAGACCGACCACTCAAGTTTATTTCAACTTTTGCTGAATCACAGTAAGATTCCTAAAAATCTCAGTATCATCCGGCTCTTCTTTTACAAAGCAGCTGTATCAATATCATGCCTCTCTTAATACTGGTGAGGCCTGTGATCCAAGAAGACTCTCAATACCCAGCTGCTGAGAGGTTTAGGTACACGTACCAGATGCCAGTGCCTACTATTGCCTCTGTGATTGCTGTACAGATTGTGACCATTTCTTTTTGCCATCTATCTTCCCCAGTAGCCTCCCCCAGTCACCATACAGAGTTGAAAAAGTACATTTTGGACAGCAAGTAACTGTGGTTTCTGGTGGTGTCTTGGACTGGAGGGCTTGGTTTCTTTCCAACTTTAAATCCCTGCTCCTCCTATTGAAAACTGTCTTGTCTTTGCTTTCTTGCCTCTTTGCTGATCTTCACTGTCCCTTTTGCTCCCTCTCACTTTTGCAGTTTCCTTTGTTTCAAAGGGGTAGGATTTTATGCTATGGTACGCACAGGTACACCCAGCTTCCAGTCAATGACAGTGGGAGAAGGTTCCTGCCCTGCTCCCACACAAGATTTTACTCTGTGTTACCTTCAGCCTCCATTTTCTACCTTAAAGTTGTAATTTTAGTGGTTTTTAGTCTAAGAAAAACCCAGGATGGCTGTGACATGTGGGAGCTGCACTTGAAAGAAGGCCTAACCAAGCATTGCCACCACTACACAGATATCACAGAATCATAGGGGAAAAAAAAAAAAAGCTAAGAACATTATCTTATTCATCCTGGATATTAGCATCCTTTAGGATGTCAAAAATACAAAGTGAAGTGTACAACCTGAAAGAGATGGCTTCAAGCACATTTGCTGCTGTCCAATTCTTCAGTAAATACCAGGAAATCAGTTTTAAAAAGTCTGGTATTTTTTTCTCCACGTATATGAAAATCCGCATTGCTACAGCTCAGAGATGCTTACCTTTGAGAAACCAAAACCAGCTTCTGTAGTTGTACAGAAGCTGTTGGACAAAAGTGACTTTCACAGTAAGGCTGACTGTTCTACAGAAGGAGGAGCAAGCAGCCTCTCACACTATGGCCCTCCCCTTACCATTTCAAAACATCTCTTCAGGAGGCAGGAAAAGCATCTTAACTGAAGTGGTTGAGTGTGGTGCGGGCCAGCTTCCACTGAAAGTTTAGGCAGGTGTTAACACGGGATGCAGAGTTCACACACTGCACAAATCTGTGCAACAGAGCTCTCACCTGAGAGCCTTCATGTGTTTGTCTGTCTTAATGTAGAAAAAGAAAATTATGCAAAGTAAATAAGCTATCAGGTGCAAAATTCTAGCATTGTTTAAGAAATGCTTTGACAGGCTAAAAGATTTGCTTTCCCCTCTATAATATCACCACGGTTTCTGGATCTTCAAACAGAAGCACATAAAAGTCATCCACACAATGTAATAGAAAATGTAGAAGTCTTGTTTAGCTTAAGGACAGTTTTAAAAAGAAACATCACAGTTGAAGAAAACTTATGAGACAGCTCTATGCTTCCCTGAAAGAAAGGCTGTACTTTAATTTTGGCAAACTTAAAGGTTAAAGAATAAAGTCTTAGTATCACAGGTGTACTGGGAAAAATTAACACTATTATTTGACTACAGACAACCAGAAGTCTTAAACAAAACGTCAGCCTTGATTGGCTCAAGACTCACTTACCAAGAATCCTGGCTGTCAGGAACATGGATTTTGATGAAACAAAAACACATTACATTTAAAGCTGCATTTCATTCTACTGAGCAGAAATGTCATGTCAAAGCAAGTACTAACCAAGACAATAAATACTCATTTGAAATCAGTTCTTTCCACATTAATTTTAAATGGTTATTACCTCCATCATTCACATTGCAACCACAGGCAATTTTGTGGACAGTAAGCCACACAATGGGTATGTCATTTGAATACAACCCATATCAGAAAATGAGGCAAAGGCTGCAGGAGAAAGCAGAACCAGTGCCTTAATAAGGAAATCAACTACTGCAGACAGATTTCTTAGAAATGCCTTTAACCCCTGTTCCCATCCTTCTCCGCCCTCTTCCTGTATCTGGAAAGAGACCAGAAAACACTGCTAGAGATTTAACTCAGCACACAGTCTCAGAGAAACACTTTAATTGAGGGAGACAGAAGCGACTTCCACATACATTTTTGCATTTAAAATTCCAGTTGTGTTAGCAAGTATGTCCTCTTTTCACTGTGAAATCTTGTTTGGCTCTCAGGTAATGCAGGATACCAGCTAACAGAGAATTAGCTCAGTACAAGACTCAAGGGAAAGAGCTGTGCAGCACTGTTGATTTCAGTGAGTTTTAGATCACAGCACCATAAAAGCCCTGGCTGGAAGAGACGTCTGGAGGTCCATAGTCTGGCTCCCTCCCAAAAGCAGGACTGTCACCAACACTAGATCAGCTCAGCCATGATTTCACCTGGCAGAGTTTGGAAAACTTCCAAAGAGAATGTGTGATCTTATTGGATCACCTGCTCCAGTGCTACACCACGGCCTGAAATGGAAAAGGCTTTCCTAATGACCTGTCCAGAACTACAAAGTTACAACTTGTAGCTGTTGCAACCTAACACTATCATAGAAGAATTTGACTCCATCAGCTTTGTAGCCTAAAAATACCTGAAGGGTAGCTGTCATTAGACCACTTCCCAGCCGCCTCTGTCAGACTAAGCAAGCCCAGCTTCCTCAGCCTGTCCTTGCTGGCCCCTGACCATGCCATGCCCCTGGCCATCCCAGTAGCTCTCTGCTGGACACTCTCCAGTGTCTCCACATCCAGAATGTGGAGCAGTCTTCCAGGTGTGGCCTCACCAGTGCCAAGGGAAAGGTATAACAATTCCCTCAGTCTGCTGGCCATGCTCCTCCCAACACAGGGCACTTCCCCATACTGACATGGCCTCGCAGTCACGGTTCTTATTCAACATGGCATCCACTAGGATGCCATCTCCTTTTCAGCAGGGCTGGTGCTCAGCCCGTTGCCTCCAAACTGTACAAACATATGGGGTTATTCCACCCCAGCACAGGACATTGTACCTTGCTGGGTTTCTGAGGGTTTTGCTGACCCAATCCTCACATTTCTCAAGGTCCCCCTGCACTGAAATTCTGCCATTCATCTTGTCAGTCAGTGTCCTTAATTAAAAGCATCTTTAGCACATCTGCAGATGATGTTTTTAATGTCATCACTCAGGTCACAGATTAAAAAGTTAACAGACACAAGCCCCAGTGTGGATCCCACTTGTTACCAGCCAGCAAACCATTGATTACTACTCCTTGAGTCTGGCAGTTTGGGCAATCTCACCTAACCAGCTGCCCTTCCAGATTGTACTTCCTCAGCTTCCAAACCAGACCATTTATAAGCTTGGTACTTCCTTAAAGGTCCCAAGTCTAAATCAAGATGGGGATGTGTTTGTAGGACAATGGATAGAACTTCTCTTGATACAGTCTCATCTACATCAGTTATACCAGTTAAAGACTTCAGCTTCTGAAGCTGTCTAGCTGCTGTTTTTGCAAATGCTGATATTCCTTTAAGAAAGGAAGTTAACTATTAACTTTGAGATACAGAAAAATGGTGAAGTTCTTCCCAGCTTTACAACTTTCACTCTTCAAAGAGCACTGAAAGATCCTATGCACCAAATGAAACTTTATCCAGTGAATCACTTTTTGTATAATCAGAGAGGTCCTCTTCCTAACAAATTTTCTGTTCATTTTGCTAAATATGTTTGTCGTGTGATGCTAAACACAGAGGCAGCAGTGATATGAAGGTGATTCATATTCAGTTTGTGTGGACTTTTAAACTGCAATGAATTGCCCATGGTTTTAAGTAAAACTGACTAGTACAGTTCTATATGGGCTGACAGAGCACTTTTCACATTCCCTAAAGTCTTTCCATTCCCTAAATGTAAACATCTTCTCTCTGTCATAGTTACTATACATATGAATACTGAAAAGAGATGCTTTTAGATCCTTCATGATTTCACATTCATGGTTTTCGGGCTGCATCGCTCTTCTAATGCATGTACTCTCCCCACAGGGTTGTGAAAGGGCAGAATTCTTACATTATCTCCCTCTCCACGACTTGATGTCAAAGAAATGAAACAAAGAAACACTTCTACTAGAAATGTTAGATTCCAGTTGTTAAAACAGATCTGCAAGAAACAGAAACACAGAGGAGGTTGTGGTAAGTCTGAAATTTTAGCGTACAGGTAAGCCAACTGTTTATAAAGTAAGAGCATTTGTCCATATTGCAGATGATCTTCATTACTTCCCTTCAGACAAGACCAAGAAAAGCAGAGTGATTCTGTGTTGAGGTTAGAAGTGGTACTTCTTGGGCTCAGCCTTGCATCCAGTCTTCCAGCAAATTTTGAGTTTTACAATAACTGAACAGCTTTTCCTATTGCAAGAAATCATTCTGGCCAGGGATGGATCTGTTTAACATCCACAGAACCCTCTCATGTGTACCAATAGCACAGACTGCAATGAACAAAACCAGTGACATCTTCACAAAATGGTGGGATCTTTGGCCGTGCTTTGCACTGGTGCCAAAGCCAAGTTCTCTATAAGAATGTATTCACTGATCAGTGCTTATTGAAAAAATTAAGATACAAGTTTTCCATTACAGTAAACCATTTGCAATGATTTATGCCTGTCTTGGGCTATCAAAATGATGACTAGAAAGATGAAGGAATGGGCAATAGGGTCAAGGAACAGGCAGAAATTGCTGAGCCCACAATAACAAAAAACTCTCAGTCCATAGTTCATTCATGTCTCATCATTGCAAAACCTTCCCAGAATGTTTCTACCTGGGACATACACTGTTGTTCCAATGCCAAATACCACTTGCAGAATTACAAGAACTATTGATCACTTAGAACAAGGTTCCACTCAGGCTTACCTGGGTGAGTGGCTCAGGAGGAGGTGGTGGTGGTGGCGGTGGAAGGTCTAAGTCACGGTCTGGAGGTGGAGGGGGCAAGTCATCCCCAAACCATCCAGTAATAGTAACATAGGGACTTGATTTACAATAAATGTCACTATCCAAGCCTGTTGAAGGCTGAGTGACCGTACTCTGCTGGTTGCCAGAAGTAGTTTTTTGGGCTTGTAAAGTTCTCTGTTCAACATCATTTATGTCTGCTACAAGATCAGCCATTAAAGCATCCAGGTCTTTGTCCTCTAGGGCACTTAGGGATTCTGTAAAGAAAATCACAAAATGTGTCAGAGTGAGTGCAATGAAAAACACTACGTTTCCAGTACAGTGGAGAATTGCAAAAGGCATGAATACTGTAAGATATAAGGGTTACGGGAAAGGAAAGAGCATTTTAAATGGGTTCAAGAAAACAAACATATTTTAGGAATAGCCATTAATCTGGTCACACTGAGATTCAGAATACAAAGAATTCTATGAATACAAATCAAACAGGACAGGAAGTTCCACTTTCAGTGATACAGTCTCAGGCTCTTACAATGTTAGGAAACCTGGCTCTCATCCAGCAAGGTTTCTGGGCACATGCTTAGGGATATGGGTACAAGAAATTTCATTAGCTCCCATAAGGCTATTTACTTATCTCAAGTTAAGTACATACATAAATGCTTAGCAAGTTTTGGTATAGCATACAACAAACTGTGTAACTGAGGCCTAGATCAATAGTATCTTCATATATTACCACTATTCTACAACTTTAAAATTAACATGAAGGAGAATAAGAGAGTTCTAAGGTGCAAGAAATTGTATGGTACCATTTGTAGCACCTCAGTAATCGCACGATCAACATCTGTGACATACTTCTTGTAATACGCAGTTCCTATACTGGAACTTCATATGCAATTTCTTCTGTGGTTGTTTTAACTAGCCATGGTAGAAAAGATCCTGTGGAATAACATCCTTCAGGATGACTTTGCTTTCTAGAAGAGAAGTTTACTCTGCTTCACCTGTTATACTAAAAGAGCACTTTTATAAGCTTTTCTTTTCAGTGGGAAAGTTGGCTTATGATAGTCTCTATTTACATAGCTCTACTCACTTTGCTGGTAGAGGAACTAAGTAGTTTAATAGTAAACTGATTCTGGGACAAAAACAGAGGTTGAAACCAACTCAAGCAAATGCAAACAACCAGTCCACAGTAAAAAGAAAAATAAAAACACAAACAAAACCCAAGAGAGGGTTCTCTTTTTAAACCTGGATAAATTCCCTCATTTGGTTTGCCACACAGCCTCAACAAGCAGTTGTACACGGAAAAGTGACAGTGAAAACCAGAATGAGAGTAAGCAATGTAAAGTGGAAGCAGCTGAAGCTGACACTTCCACTGTACAAAAATGCTCATGCAGCTCTGACCTCACACTGAGGAACTTTGCCTATTAAGTTAAATCTTTAAAAATTAAAATTTGTCTATTTTAACTTAAATCTTTTTAAAAGGTTGCATTTTAGAAAGTAATTTTGGGAACTTCTCATTTTTGTTTTCCTCTACACTCAGATAGTTCAAAAAGTCTGACTCCTATTTAAGACCAAACAACGATCCTTTAAAAAAGAATTTGCCCCCTTTGAAGTTTCCTAAATTGAGACACACAAACATACCTCCTCCTCCAGCAAAAAAAGTTGGGCTGGTTTGGTTTGAGTTTTTTTGATCAAGGGTATTTGAAGTTTTTCTTCTCATTTGTTGCTGTGAGGTATTTTTAAATAAGCATAAAAAGCATGAAAGAATCCATTCAGCTACTTACCATTTAAATCTTTAAAACCAACTGTAAAGCTGAATTCATTGTTGGACACTTTGGGCGATGGCGGTTGTACAGTCTCCACTCCTAAACTCTGTTAAAGTAGAAGCAGCAAACAGGCGTTTTATGACATAATTGCTATTACAGACATTAACATTTGTACATCAACTACCTGAATTTGTCTGATGAAATCAATTATTTAAGGAACAGACTGACACACTAGTTCCTGAGATTATGCCTAGACTGGTAAACTAAATAGGGCCAGGACAAGGGTTCAAGCACCATTTTGCAATCATGCCAAGTGTTTAATGCTTTGCATGTTTCCCAATACAATGCTGATCCATGCCAACTGCAACTCTTCTCAGGCAAGACATGGGCTTGGTGTGGGGAGCAATGGAGGATAGGGCTGTTTCTAACAGAGACAGTGGATAAAGCCAGAGTGATTTCTAAGCTTTTGTGGGTTTTTTGAAGGGGGGTGTTGAAAGTGTTTAGTTGCATACACATTTGAGCTACTGGGTGCCATTTGCTCCCAGAGTGCTTTATTCACCAACATAAATGTAACCTAGCTGTTGTTTTCTCATGCTGTTAGGAAAAAACAAAACAAACAACAAACCCCAAAACTCAAACACAACAAACAACAAAACATGCTGCTGTTCGCAATGTAAACTGCAAATCTGTATCATGAAATAGAAAATTCCTAGTCTGTGGCTTGTTTAGGAAGCAGGCAGGGAACCAGTGCTTCACAAGTTAGGAAAAGTGCATACAGTAGAGACAGAAAAAGATAATTCTCCCTTCTGCAGTGAGGAAGGTTATAGCTATAATAAGCAAACACTGTAAACAAGACTAGAAGGAACTGCAAGGGTCTGCCTTGACCATGCACCTGTTCTAAGGCAGGTCAGTTATACCTGGCTCATAGCTGAAAAATGCACACCTAACCTGATCTAAAAAGCTTCCTATTAAGACAAATTCCATAACACCTCTGGCAACCTGTTCCACGCCTTCACTATCAAATTCATTAATCCTGCCATCAAACCTTTTGTGTGATTCTCAACCTAAACTTCCTCTGCTGCAGCTAAAGACCATTCCCTGTTTTCCTGCTCTCCATGAACACGAGGAACCACTTCTTTCTGCTCAGATGCTGCCTTTGGTGTATTTTAAGATTTTTATCAGTCTCCTCTTCTCTAGACTAAACAACCCCCATGCAATCTTTTCTCACAGGTCATGTTTCTTTTCCCCTCACAAATTCTGATTGCTTTCCTTTGGATTTTCTCCAGTTGACCCTCCCTCTCCTCTAAATGCAGTGCTAACATTGGACACAGTTTCTCTCTTGAGCTCTTACCAATGCTAAGCAGAACGGAAGGTTTACTTCATACATCCTACAAGCTACACCCTTGTTTATACATCCTTGGGAGATGTTTGTCTACTGGTGCTCATCCTCAATTTGTACCAGAGACATTTACATTTCTTAGAGTTGCCTGAAGCTGACAGTCATTTTCCATTAAAATTAATGCAAGTGTTTTTCTTGGCAACTCTTTTCACCTATTTCCCACCCAGAACAGGTTTTTTTTCTGAAGTTATAAAGAGCTGGAAATCACAGCAGTGATAACTTTAAGCACTGTTTCTGTGTTAATACTCTCTCTCATAAAAATAGGCATGGTATAAATAGGAGAAGAGGAAGAAATTAAGCACATGAGAGAGTTTTACAGTGCTGGGTGGGGGGGGAAGAGGACACAAAATGTATTGATGAAACAGACTGTAAGAGCATAAAGGAGACAGTTTCATTACTAATCTAGCTAGAAGTCAGCAACTCATAATGGCCATAACAGTGCAGAAAAAGAAAAAGAAACCACATGCAAAGGGCAATTAAAGAGAAAACAATCAAAATGCTAAAAAAGAAGTTCAAAATTACGTATGTAGAAATAGCATAAAAGCCCAATTCTGAATTTGCATTTATTTTTCAGCCTTCTTATGCAATATGAAGGCATTTCCGTTTGCTTCTACCATTTACACTTACTTTAGGAACAGAAAAACAGATTGGTGAAAAAGGGTGAAAAACTATGTACAGTCTCATCTGGGAAATTCAGAGTCCTAAGGAACTGACAGATGCAAGTCTGTTAACTGAAAGTCTTCAGGCTTTCAGACAAGCCTGTCTCCTTCCATACAATGCTGAGGTAAGAGGTGATGACAGCACTTTAGAAAAGTCAGTCTCCATCTTAGGAACGTGCCCAATCCCATCCAGTACTGTACTGATGAGTGGAGAGACAAGGAAGTCACTCTTTTACTCTTTTCCCATCATCTGCAGTGGTAACAGTGCTGTCCCCAATCCAAGGAGGCAAAATTCACCCTAAGCAGTATTTGGTAATTTTCAAGGCATAATAATGAAATAAAATTACCCTTAAAGCACACTTTATATACATATATACATATATATACACACACACAAACACACACACACACACACACACATACATATATATATATATAAAATATGAATGGTTATAAAAAGCCCTTAAAAAGCGCAAAGGCTACCAAAGGGCAAAGTACTGTGACTTGACAGCTAAGAATGTCATGTGAAACCTTGGCTTGCACACAGCTGAAGCACAATTCCTGTTCTGTGACTCAGAAATATTGGTATTTAATTTGGCAAGCACTGGGATTCACCAAGAGAAAAGACCCCTCAAAACAGAGGCTGTAAGCAATCAAACTCACACAGAATCCAAGATGACAGCTTGTGTTTTCAAGCATACATTTATTAAAATACAACAAATTTATTTACTTTGTGAGGTGTTTTTAGAAATAAAAATTCTTCTTTCATTAGGTTTTGCAGGGTGTATTCCATGACTATAGGTTTAGAAATAGGCTTGTGCTGTTTTACAGTTTCCTCTCAAGAGTGTATTCTGCACTGGCAATGATGTCTCTAAAAGTTATTAAAGGTCACCCTAGCTTAGTATTCTGCCACACTTAAATGTTACTCTTATGCATATATTCAAAACGTTGCTTTCATTCCGAAAGTTTACGTTTGACACTCAGACTACAACCCATTTACCTATGTATGCAAAGCATTCATACCTGAAACTTGTGACTCAAACTCTTCCCAGTTTGACAGAATCTTTCTGTTTCTTGGGACGAAGTCCAGAGGAATTTAAACTGTGCTGGGTTTTTTTTTGGAGAAAGTGTCTTTCATAAGCACTTAGCTCTCTTTAACAATGTAGCCTGCACTGATGTTACCTTCTTCTTCTTTCAAAGGTCAATCAGAGAAATTTAGTTGAAGGTTTTTCAAAATAATGTATCTGTATTTGAGTGGAGGTACATGAAAAATGAAGAAAATTTGCCTCTTTTCTCTAACACATAATAGCTATTTTTCTAATCTTGATGGAAAAAAAGAATTATTTACCTGGGTCAGCATGTCCATCTCCCCAAGCAAATTGCTGAACATTTCATCTATATCATCACATGTTTGCTCCATCTGCAAGAACAAAAATCCACAGACAAGGAATCATCGTAAGTTCATTTCAAAGCCAGCAATAGTAAAAAATATTCTTTTCTATTGTGTTCCAAATTAACTTTAAAACAACTGTTCATGACTTGCAAAAACCTCCATCTGTAGTTTAGAAATAACTACTAACAGATCAGAATCTCAGTCCTGTATATGCTTAAACACACACTAAGGCTCTACACTCATTAGGAGTCCCAACAACCTCCTTTATTATTTTATTTTCATAGGAAGTCACTAGCTAATAAACCATGGTTGTATCTTAAACATCAAAGAAATGTAGCTAGTAAGATGGAAAAAATGTTTTGAGGTTGAGAAATTTCTGAACGCTTCATCTTGAAAGCTTTCTTTCTTTGGCATAGATGACTAATACAACAGGAGTTTATTAGGTGTTATCTAGTACAGGACCTGGTTATGGTTAGGTACATGACTTAACTTTTTATCTCAATATTTCTCCTTGTTTTCTCTCATATACTAGTGCACTGAGAGAGCTCCAGTCTTACCTAACCTCAAGACATCTGAAGGAGAGCATCAAGACAACAAAAACAGGTACATGTTGCATGACAGTAAATGGCAGCTCTTGTTGCAAGAGGAGGGTGTAAGGAGAGCACCACACACTGGTGGTGCTGAGACACTGAGGAGGTACAGCTTCTGTAATAATCCTCTTTCTCATAAATTTGTTCCCTTGCAGGGAGAGAAGTAATGTAAAAGGGTGTCCAACATGGACCACTGCCAGAGACGAGAATTATAAACATCATTTTCTTATGGGGCCCAAGCCTGCTAGGGATTGAGAACTCTGGTACTGATGACACAAAACTAGGGTCAAACTTTAAATTTATAAGTAGTCCTATAGGTTCACTGGGTTGGTGTGCACCTGTACTGGGTTTAAGTGGCAAGGTTTTGGTAATGGGGTCTACAGGGGAGGCTTCTGTAACAAAACACCAGGAGCTACCCTCATGTCAGAGACAGTAGTTCCAGCTGGCTCCAAGATGGAGTTGGTGCTGGCCAGAGCTGAGTCCATCAGCAACACTGGTGGGACCTCCAAGACAACATACTTAAGAAAGGGTAAAAAGTGCTGCACAGCAGCTCTAAGTGAGGAGGGAGAAAATGGGAGAGAAATATCCCTGCAGTCAGTGAAGAAGGAGGGGGAGGAGGTGCTCTAGGTGCAAGAGCAGAGATTCCCCTGCAAGCCCATGGTTGATGCAGGTTGTTCCCCTGCAGCCAGTGGCAGCCAATAGAGAACCATGGCAGAGCAGATATTCACAGTGCAGTCCATGGAGGACCCCATGTCGCAGCAGCTGGAAATGCCCTGAGGGAAGCTGCAGCCCGTGGTGTGTCCATGCTGGAGCAGTCTCCTAGCAGGTAGTGGAGCCTGTGGAGAGGAGCCCACACGGAGCAGGTTTTGTGGCAGGACCTGTGACCCTGTAGGGTACCCACACTGGAGCAGTCTGGTCCTGAAGGACTGCACCCCATGGAAAGGGCCCACCCTGGAGCAACTCCTGAAGAACTGCAGCCTGCGGGAAAGTCCCACCTTGGAGAAGTTTGTGAAGAACCCTCCTCTATGGGAGGGCCTCCACACTGGAGCAGGGA